ACTTGCAGAGCTACAAGCCAAACAGCACGAGCACACTCTGTGACGCACTGGCTGCATTGCTCGAACTCAGTGAGGCAAAACTGGACACCATCGTGCGTACGACGATGATGGCAAAAAGGCACAGCATGATTCATGCAAAGGTCGCGAGCCTGAGCCCCTAGAACATCAGTCCCGGCAACCTTCCTGGCAAAATTGACGGCAAGCACATGGAAATCACTCACGATCTGAGGTCCTGCTGGCCCAGGGCTAGCCAGCAGGCAGCACATCTCTGACCCTTTCGCTGCTTCAGCACAAAGCTGAGGCCCCGCTCCCACGAAGGACAGAAAGTCCAGGGCGTAGGTCAGATTTCCACCTCACTGTCCACGTCTTTCCACCGCACTTTCCCCTCACACCTCCACGCGGTCGTACGCGACGAAGACACGGCCAGGTACGAGCACGGAGAACCGAGGGCGCCCATGTCTGCGACAGTGGGTATATCTTACACGCAGTGAAGACAAGAGGCTCCAAAAGTGGGCACAAATATGAGGATGGCCACCCCCAGAGGTCTCATCCCTCTCACGTGTCTCGCAAAATAAAGATGTGACCTCCAAAAGTGGAGAAAATTACCAAGATGGCTACCCCAACGTGCAGCATCCTGGTAACTATTGGCAAGCATAAACTTTTCACACGCCGCGAAGAACTAACGCTTCCGAGCCCCGCCCGGCCCCATGCTCCGTGACTGTTTGCACCTTTGACACGCGATGCAGCAATGACGGTCTAAAAGCGACAACACTTATACGAGAATGGTGACCGCGCGAATGCTTGGAAATGCCTTCGAACACGTGCGGACGCTTGCGGACACGTGCGCAGTGAGTTTGGTCGGCCATGGAGTCCAAGATCACCGCATTGAAAACAGGATCCTTTCCACGGAGCACTCAGTAATAGGAAGGCTGCATGGAATAACCAAGCAAGATGTTACTTGTAGCATGACCACAAAACGTCGGGAACACTATCAAAGGACAAGAGAGCTTTGATTTAAAACCACGAGGCGTGAACTTACCTGCACTCTGGCCAAAAAGGGGGTACATTCAGAGCAGCAAGATTGGATGAAACCACAAAGCAACATGTTACTCGTACAAAGAGCACGCAGGAAACAAATACCAAAACAGGAGGAAGGCGAGATGCAACGACCAGGCATGACGTTCTTGCTACCATGACCATTCAAGGGCATGCCCTATAAAAGACGGAGTAGTGAGCTTCAATACAACCATCAAGCTTTAATGTCATCATACCATGCCCATGTATGGGTAGGTTTATTGAACACTACAGGAGTGGCGAGGCCTCGGTGAAACAAGAAATTGCTTGTTTCAAGACCAGGCAAAGGTGTTGAACTTAACAGAGGGAGGGAAAGGTGCAATGCAATCACCCGGCATGATGATGCTTGTCGGGTAGTGATCACTGCAGAGGGGCCAGGACGCAACGTCCAACACGGTTGATGCATACATTCCTGACTTTGCAAGGGTTGTGAACACTAAGTGGAGCAAAAAGTTTAAAACAACAAGCATCACGTCATTCGTATTGTGACCTTGATTAGGTATGGCAAACGATTGAACAAGGAGTGAGGCTTGACGCGACTAGCACACCCTTACCATGACCATACAACAGTCATGAACCGTAAACGCGACAGGCAGAGTACAGCCGGGAAGTTAGATTTGACCACCAGAAACAGACGTCCTGGGAGCTCAGGAATCGACAATTAAACTGCTTAACAATAGGAAGAGCACAAACACAATAGGAGCAGACCCCAGTATGTCACATTTCTGAACAGCATGTAGGTGGGGACAACGAAACCACCCATGTCTAACGGAGACACTTATTTTGGGACACCAACAGAACCATATATTAACTAGGTACGGAAATGAAGACGTACCAGAGAGCATACGGTAATGAGTCATGAAACATCATTACTTCCCATGCAATCAAGTTCAGTCTTCAATCTAATAAAGAAGCAGGCCCTACAACAGCAACCATAGCAGCACAAAGAAAGCGAGCTAGGCCTGAGTTTAGTCTTGCTTCAGCAGCAGTAGCCTTCAAGGTTCGAAAACGACGCAACTTGTGACATAACTAGAGCCTAACATTATTGGGCGAACAACTATCAAACACAAACGCAAGGTTATACCAAAGAGCAGACGCTAATAACACTTAAGAAGCAATATCAACGGAGGAAATGTACAGACGGATAGAACATCCGACCCCACAACATAAAAAATAGCATTACAACTAAACTAAACGACACTCGCGGAAGTACAATTAATAGAGCAGCTATAGATAAACACTCAAACATTTAGCAGTATTGATGATATTGTTGGAGAGGCGGATGTCACCAGTAGGGATTATGTTTCAGAACAGCAGTGAAGTTGAAGAAGTATTGGACACACGGTACAAACTGCTTATCAGAAACAGCGATGCATTGGGTCAATAAGTCAAAGAGTGAAAATATGAGATATTAAATTGAATGAAAGTATTAAGGAAGTAAGCGATAAGGATTGTTACAGAGTTGTCACTTCGTACCATGAGCATGCCAGGGCAGTGAACATTGATAAGGAGAAAAAAATTGATGCAGCAACCAGGCATGATGTTGCTGTACAATTACCAAGCGAACATGACGTTATTCCTACAAATCGTCGTCCCCCCAAACCAACAATTCCCATGAAAGAATCATGTTCCACCTCCCCCTCCCCCGCCCTCCCCCCCCCAAAAAAAAGGCAAGTCATTAGTTTCCTGTGGAGGAATCACGCTCGAACCCCCGCTGACCTCCCCCCACCCCTCATGCTGTGATATATACATATATATATATATGTATACACGCTACGTCGTTTTCCAGACCTGGAAGACTACTACTGCTAAAGCAAGACTAAACTCAAGCCTAGCTCTGCTAGCTTGCGTGGCATGGATCGCCACTGCATTGATTCCGCCCGGACTGACTGAAAAGCTTTCGCCAGCATAGGACCCAAATATGGTGTGTTTGTGTGACTGGGATTATCCCAGAGAACAGCGAAAGGCCCTCCTCCTCCTCCCCCTCCTCCTCCTGGTCTTCCTCTCCTTTCGCTGCTCCCTCTCCCTCTGCCGTACCGTTTCCATTGCCGTTTCCACTTCCTCTCCGTCTTCTTCTTGCTCCTGCGTCGCATGTGGCCAGTTGCGCTCCAAGAAGTGCAACAAGAGGCCGCGGCTCCACCCTGTTGTGACTTCCCCTTTCTTGGCGGCCCTTGTACAAACTACGCAGCATCCAAGGCCAGCTGCATGAATCAACAATTCCAGCAGTCAGCTTCTAGGTTGGTCAGCTGCCCCAACTGCATGCCCATACGCTTCAAAGAATCGAAGATGGGAGCATCATGTCCCGCCATATCGCGCGTCTTGCATTGACACCAGAAAGCTGCTCCGCAGGCTAGCACATCTTGCTTGCGTCACTGAGAACATCTAAGAACAGTCTCTGCCTATGACCTCCCACTTCCTCTTCGCTTGCTACATCTCGCACGGTCCTCAATGATTCCGAAGATGGGCTGCATTCCCTGCAACACCTTGCAGCACTAAGCACAAATCTTCATAGGCCACTGTGACTCGCCGAGACATCAGGAGCCCTGTTCCCACGCAGCTGCATCATACAAATCCCATAAACAAGCCGAGGCCATCTCCTCTGCTTGAGCTTGACAATTCAACGTTGAGCTGCGGTGTTTGCAGTGTGCGGAATACGCGTCTCTGTATCAAAACGTGTTCATTGTCGAGAGGACTGAGTTCTTATCGGGCAAGGGCCTAGGGGCAAGGCCTGCAAGGCTTGAGCTCCAAAAGACACGCCAGCCTGCTGCGGTCTGGCATCTGCCCGTTCCAGTACGCATGATAGGAAAGCACATGAAACGGCTGAACGATTCGAAACGTGTATGTAGCATACACGCACACCGCTCTCAGTGATGGAAACTCCCCGGCCTCGCGGCTTAAGGCTGGCTGCCAGCGCGATAGACTTGCGAGCGCCTTGTTGTTTGTTGTTTTTTGCGCTTGAGCTTTCCATGTTGCACTTGGCAACGTATTCAACAGATGTGCAAGCCCTGCCTGAACTTGTGTGTCGGTGGCTCAGTTGAAGTGGATGCTGAAGGCACTGTCATATGGACACCGTCTATCTGACTTCAGGCTTCCTGTGTGAAACTATGAAATCAAGCATGAACACCTGAAAACCTGAGGACTTGTCCCAGGCAGTCGTCGCAAGATACCGTGTGATGTCATTGCCACCTGGGAGCAGAATTCCATCTGATCTACCGTACCAGGACGTCTAGAGGCCTTCATGGAGAGAACATGCTATGACTTGTGCCTTCCATGCTGCAGATAGCTTGGACTATGTTTGCAGCATCTTGCAGACAAGGATCTCTCATGCTCCCGGAGTAATGCTGGCTTCACGTAGCTAAGCAGACGCAAGACATCTTCGGACTCCAAAGCAACGTTGCCTCTTGTCCTTCCAGCAAACCTTTGTGAGCTCCAGGACTCCGTGTTGCATTTCACCAAGGAGTTGAGGCATGCATCCACTTCGATCACTTCCGGCTGAAACCTGTCTGCATGCCTCCACAACGTTTTGAAGATTGCATGAGGCCTTTGCACAGCCGCATGAGATGCGACTTCCCGGTGCAAAGCTGTTCGCAAGTAGCTTGGGGCAGCAGGCTTGCTGTGCTGTGACAAGGGTGGTGACAAGGGTGGTGAACGTGGTGAACGTGGTGGGGGCGGAACGGGACGCTGCTTCCGCGGCTGGGAAGGCTGGGAAGTCCCGCTTCCAAAGGCAGGCAAAGGCGCCAAGCCGGCTCGCGCAATGCGACGGCGCACGCTGCAATTCACTCCAGGTCTTGACGAGCTGACGTTCCTCACAATATCTCGCCAGAGTGTGGCTGGTGAGAAGCGGTATGCCATGGCTGAACGGCTGACGTCTTGATCCCAAAGCTTCAACTCTTGGCGCTGCATGAGGCTACAAGCCGTCGGACAACCTACTTAAACGACCTCATGACCACGCAAATCTGCCTCTGTGAACCACACAGCAACTTGCCTGGGCTGAGTACAGAGGACCATGAACTTGTCCTCTCGCGAAATTTTGCCAGCTCGTCGCTTTTCGAAATACTCCTGACAGCGGATTGCTACTTGCTGCAGTGTTTTGTGACAAGCAAAATCCTCAGTGGTCTTCCGATCCTCCATGACATACACCGGTACTCGGGTTGACTTGCCGCAGCCGGTCTCACCCTGGATGCACCTTGCTTTTTGCTTTTACAACTGTCGTTCCCAGCAAGAGGCGTGCAAGCAGCCAAGGATGTCGGCATTTTCTGCTGGCTATGTTGCTTCCACGCTGAGCATTCACTAGATGAAAGCTTCGGCAAAAAAGTGGGAAGCTTCTCCCGGCCAGTCAGTTTTGAAGGGCCGAATTCACGCTTTGCCAGAGGCTGCTAGGCAGGCAAATAAGCGTGTACTGATTTGCAAACGAATACGATTGTGGAAGCAGCGCTGCCAGGATGCATCCTTCCTTGAGAAGGTATCCTATCCTTCGAAGCTAGGGAAGCTAATGAAGGCCAGATTGCCAGATCGCTTGCAGGCACCTATGGCGCCTTTGGCAAACCCGGCACTGAGAATGAAGTTGCTACACTGGGATAGAAAAACTGGCAACAACACATAAAACAAGCGAGCATAAGGAAAAGCTTGTCTCTTCCTTGAAGCCTGCAATTCATGCACTAGCCGCCATTATAGATGCTCCAGCCTTAGCAAACGAACGCATGGAAGCAGCCGCGCAAGCAGCAGTGCAGCTAGAACTGGCTTCGGAAACCTGTAAACTGACCCAACCCTCCACAAACCATTCTTTGCAGATCTTGGGCGCCCACATGCCGCAAGGATAACCGGCCCTCGGACAGCACTGCATCCTGCAAATATCAGTGCATGTTCTGGAAGGTATGGCGTCGCAGTCAGGATCCCCAGTTAAGGATTAGGGATTACAGTGCTGTCAGATGACGTTGGACTGCTAGCCAGCAACAGAAACCGACCTTTTCAACACATGGCTGCATCTAGCAAAACAAAGGCGCTCTTCTGCAAGCATACAAGCTATGTTGGAAGATTAGATTCGCCTCGCCACTGCAGGCACGCGTGGTCACAGAGATCAGAGCAGGGCTCTGCAACATCTGGAAGCTACGAGCATGGGACGGTGGCATCGCTTCGAGGGGCGACCTGGATATCGAAAGCCTCCGAGAATTGCGCCGCTGCGGAACCTTGGGTGCCTCGAAGGAGACTTGGCCCTCGTGCCAGAGCTCTTGGTAGCCGCAGTTGCAGATTTCCAGCGCTGCATCAATCTGCTGCTCGGCATCCTTGCTTGCAACAATCAGAGCAACCTGCGCTGCATCTCAACTCACGGAGTGTGATGAACTCTCCGACCATCTCCTACCTACTCACATGAATGCACCCCCTCGATTTACACGATCCTTTTTTGGGGACTCCCCATGCCATCATGCTTAAATTCCTCGAAGTGTTATAAGGGAGCTTAACTATCACCGCTCAGCGTCTTTGGCAGCCAGTTCGCCCAACTTCTTCGCCCGCAGCTGACCCCTCTCCACGAGCTCAGGCTGGTCAGGGCTGCGCTTTGCACTACGGGCACGGCGCTGCAGTGCCAATTCCCGGTCCTCGGCAAGCTGGTAAGCCTTCTCGGCCATCCGTTTGGCCTTGATGGCCCTGTAGCCGTCACACCACTCACGTAGTTCGGCCAGCAGCTGCGTGTTGCAGGCAAACTCAGCTGCACTGAGGCGTTTCAGGACTCCCTTGACGCTCTCCGTCCCTGCCATCTGGATCTCACGGTGCCAGCGCTCCTCCTTTATCCTGAAGCGTGCAATCCGGCCAGGCTTGGTGAATACAGGTGCCCCATTTGGGATGGGCTCTTCCAACTCGAAAGCAAGGTCATGGGGAGCAATTCCTGGCAGGATTTCTCGCCGACCAGTGGCCTCGCCCTCTCCAGACTCCTCGATGCCATAGGGCACCTCGTCAGCAGCCTCCTCTAATAACTTGTTGGCCGCAAACTTGAGCTCGTTGGCAATCTCCAGCCCGTCCATCAGGGTTTGCGGGATAAAGAGCCGCGGACTGTAACGCTTGCAGCGACTGCCGGCAACCTTGCACTTCCCACGTCTAAATGCTGTGCTTGGGGACGCTGGGGTAGAGCAGAAAGACTTGGTGGAGTAACTCCGAGGATCGGCAGTTGGGGTGGCATCCTGCTCTGTCAGCTTCTTCAGGAGCATATCTCCAATGGGGCCCATCACAAACATGCCATCGTTCGTTTCCCATGGAAACTTGTGCTTCTTCGCCTTCACAGCTTTATCTACCATAATCCTATCAAGCACAGCGCAAAACTTATCTTTGCAGTACAAGAACAAAACATGCGCGAACCGCTACCCAGCACATGTCAGACCCCAAATCCTCCTTCCTTCACCACGTCGAAAAAGGACGTAGAGCGACTTCCGCCCAAGGAGCTGAGGTCTGTGAGCGAAAGGCTCTGACCCACCGGCATGGCTTCAGGCGGCCCGTTACTTTGTATTCCTGGGGCTACACACGCTGAGGCTTTGGTCCTTTGAAGCTTCGGTTCCTCCCCATGGCTAACAGACAAGAATCGTGACTAGGGCATTGAGATAAACAGCTGGCGCGCAGCAATGGAAACACAGACAGTACTTGCCATGCCGTAAGCCTGTGACCGCTTGACACAACTCATTTCAAGGTATCGCGCGTAACTCGATGCGTCTCGATGTGCTTGAGGATCCTTATCGCCAACACATCTTTCTAGCCTTACCATCAAAAATGCTGGTGTGGTCAACAGCAATGTGCAACAAGCCCGGGTTCGCACTTTTGAATTTGAGCCTGACAACCTACAAGACGCTTAAACCTCGAGCTGTTGGCCACTGCTTTGCTCATGCTCGTCCAAGCATCTTGTCACGGTGCTCGTCAATAGGAAGCTCTTCAACGTGTGATGACCTTGAGATCCAGATGTTCTGAGGTTTTACCGTCGTACAAGCTTATGCTGGAATCAGCAAGATGCAGCTTCTGCCGTTTTTAGTCTTTCTTTGGATTTGGCAATCAAGCATCAGCCTTGTCTCATCACATCCTACGACACGTGTCCACTTACATCGTGTGCAGCTGCTTTGAAAATCCTACGACTGCATCCACGCAGCACGTAAGGCTTTCAAGGTCTGTTTGGTGCATTGGTGCGGTTGCCCCGATACATAAGCCTCCACCAACCTCACTCAACCTTTCTGTTGAATCCGACGCCACACGCAACCCGAGATGTATAGTCGCAACCATTCACCATGGTGACCACCCCGACCCAAGGCCACAGCTTCTTGCGTTCTTCCTCTAGTTGCCGTTCGCTGGGCCAAGCCTGGGTTTCTTCAGCATGGACAAAAACTGCCTCGGAGTTGAAGGGGCTGGACTGTCAGACTTGTTGAGTGTCAGTGGTGAGATTCATTGACATGTTAGGTTCACAAAATGCTGCAAAGCATGGTCATCTGGGCCGCCCCACAATCACGCCAGGCCGGAGGCTCCAAACCAGCTCCTGAGAAGTGGCCGCTTCTGCCGCAAACCTAGTAGTTGTCGTCCCAACAATACGCGAGGCTATGGAAGCTAGCTAAGTTCTGCCCAAGAGCACAGGCTGGTACACAAGAACCCTTTCAATCACCACAAGGGAGCTGACTACTACTGCTTTTACCAGTGTTATTGCTTTCATTCCTATTATTAGTACTATTGTCACCGCCACTACCACTACTGCTACTACTGCTACTACTGTTACTACTGCTACTACTGCTACTACTGCTACTACTGCTACTACTGCTACTACTGCTTCTACTTCTACTGCTACTACTACTACTACTACTACAACTACTACTACTCCTACTACTACGACTACGATGGACACTAAAAATACTGCATGACACTAGCCAAATTTTGTTGTAGCATAGTATAGTTGAAAGTCATGCCGGACTTTTAGTATCAACTGTCTTCCTGCTACTATTACTAGTGCCAGCACTACGATTATTGCTGCTACTACTACGCCTTTTTACTACGACGACTACGACAACAACAACTACTACTAGCCGCCCCCCCCCCCCCTACCAACTATGTTTGCTTAAATTGTCA